CTTCTACCACCAACCCCTATTTTTTTATGGCGGTACGAAGTTTGCTGGGACACCTAGTTATATATAAAATTCTCGTGTCACAATGTTAGTTACCATACTCCTCCGAAACGGCCTGAATGAAATTTTATATGCATATTCCGTGGTTCTGAGAATCGGCTACTATCTATTTTTCATATCCTTAAGTGATAATGGTTGTCCACCTGTAATGTAGTTTTCAGAAACCTACAATGCGCCTTCGCGCCTAAATTCAAACTATAACGTAGTGTTCTCTATTGGGTTAGGAGGAATGTTATCCCAGGAAATTGATAGAACACTACGTTACACACCCCTAAAATTTTATATTAACAACAAATTTTTTTATATAATGTGATATTAAAAAATACATACAACCCTAAATTTTCTCTTCTACCACCTGCCCCTATTTTTATGTCGGTACGAAGTTCGCTGGGTCAGCTAGTATAATATAAATATCATCTTGGAGTCTTATCTGACTAGGTTTAGTGTCGTGGACATTTATCTTAATCTAATGGCTACGTATGTATGATATTTAAATATAGGAAATATATTGATTGCAATCTATTAATAGTCAAGCCTCATTACCATTACCTACGTTTATATTTATGCCTGGCTTTCAACATGTTTGCACTGTTTCGTGACACGCAGCAGGTGCGTTTGCTATTTTGTCGTACTGTTCGTGTCAAAACTGAATAATATTTTGTTTTCAGAACGTAAATCTATTAAATGATTTTCGTGTTTCTATTACTTCACTATTAACGATTCGCGAAAAGGTTAAGTGAAAAATTTAGTTTAATATTTGAATCTGCATTTAGATCGATATCGTTACCTTTAGAAATTATATGAAATATTGCATTTCTTTTATTTAGGAATTATATTTTCATAAAAATAGTAGAAAACAAACTTACAGGTGTTGCCCACTTTTGGTAAACAATCACTTTATCCTACTAATATTATAAATGAAAAAAGTCTGTTTCAAACGTCAAACGTTTGTTTGTTTGTTACTCAATCTCGCAAACTTTGAATGAATGGATTTGGATGAAATTTGGTACGCATATAGTTTATGATCTGGATTGAGACATAGGATACATTTAGCCGCTAGTAGCCAATAAACGCTTGCTTTATTGGAGTTTATTGGCGTTTGAACCAAACATGCATTGCAGACCCTGCTACCCTCACTATATCAGTGTAGGGGCACAAATACAAAAGAACAGTGTTATTAGGTCCTTCAAAAATCCATGTTTTCAATACTTTAGTCACGTATTATATATATATAAATATAATATTAAGAAATATAGGTTCAAAGAATTTGGAATAATGACGGTCGCATCACAATACATTTATACGAAAATTTATTACTTGTAAGAAAAAAATATTAATTTGTTTATTAAAAACAGTGATTTTCACACACTTAATACAAGAAACAAAAATAAACTAACTTTACCTGCTACTAGGCTTCACAAAATCAATAATATTCATTTAAAAGTCTTTGTGTTTGCTAATACAATAAAGTCCCAAGCAATATCCAAGAGTTAACCATAAATAAATTCAAAGATAGTATAAAAAAAGCACTTATTAAAAAAATCTTATTACAAAGTGTCTGTTTATATTACAGACAAAAATGCTTGGGTTTGAACTGTTCCAATCATTCCAACAGGTTTTCTATATTAAATAAATCATGATTGTATTGACGTTGTAACAACATAATGATTTGCAAATGTTGTTACATTATACTTTTAATGCTGTGGAGTGTTTTTCGCTCGTTTTTCTCCGCAGCTAAAAAATATGTCCAATAACGAGTGGTAGGGAAAAAAAAAGTTTGGACGATTCAAAAGTGTTGTACTATACATCCAATTTGAATAAAGATATATTGATTTCTGATTTGATATACACAGGGCGTCCCACGGCTATCTCACACGGAGGGAAAGTATATTCAATATTGAAGATAGGATATTTTACTGGAAGACGACATCATTTTATATTTAATAATAACTAGAACTGATTTCACAGTTTTTTTTTAAATCGCCTGCTACAACTGGGAATCAAACTCGTGAAATTTCGAATAAAAACACAACATATTTTATGATAACCATCGAAAGGATTAATCATGAGGTTTATATTTTGCTAAATAACATAGCATTTTAAATGAAAGAAAAGTAATTAAATTTAACATTTTATTTCAAATTATTTAACACAAACTAATATAAAATCGGATACGCCTCAAAGTAAGTAAAAATGTTGAGTTCATCATCGTAGACGTTCATCATCCGCTGCTGTGGTTCCTGTAAGCGCATACCAAAACGTCCTAACTTTCTTAAAGTATTAGCTAACCGTCTCTATCAGGTACCACCGCAAAGCTAATATTTCTTTGTGGTTCATAAAGTAAGCTTCCATTAAATCCATTTTATTTTGATACGCAATGGTAAGTGAATTAACAAAAAAATTGCAAATAAATGAAAATGAAACTCACAACAAACAAAAGAACAGACTCTTGAAAATTCATGTGTTCCATTTTGGAATTATTATTTTTATAAATTTCAGCCAATTGCATTGTAACTGTGAGTTCAAAAAGAAAGCATACGTACTACAGTTTGTATATCACTTTATTATTTTTATCACGTAATAAGACATTCCTTTCACTTAAAAGGTTATGTTATTTAGCAAAAAATAATCCTTATGATTAACCCTTTCGATGGTTATCATAAAATATGTAGTGTTTCTTTTTTCGAAATCTCACGAATTTGATTCCCAGTTATAGCAGGCGATTTAAAAAAAACTGTAAATGAAGTTCTAGTTATTATTAAAAATAAAATGATGTCTTCTTTCAGAAAAATATCCTATCTTCAATATTTAATATACTTTCCCTCCGTGTGAGGTAGCCGTGGGACGCCCTGTATATATAATTCCCTTCCAAACATTGCGCCTAAAACTTACGGTCGCAGACGTATAATTTATATGTTATATGTATAGTAAAACCACAGAAAGAGGTAAGAAGGGTGATCATAGACCATTTTACATGGGAATCGATGTCGTCGACTTGTCCCTACTACACTTTCACCTAATAGATAATAGCCAATCAAACGACGCGACATCAAACAATCAAAACAATCAGCGCTCACACCGGAGAGCAACGACGCAATCAGAACCAGGTTTTGGTCAAGTTATGAGCATTTGCTCACACATAACTGAGGCGCGTCTGCCCCGCTACAAGGCCCTTCTAACCTATTTCTGTGTTCTGTGCGGAAAACGCATCGTAAATAGGAATTTTATTGTATTTTTATTAATCAATCTTTGTTTTCTGATTACTAAACATCCTGAAACATAATTCTGCCATTTTCATTTACTTGTGAAATTTAAAAGGCACATATTGAAATGATCATATTTTAGGTGATCAATTATAATTTTTTTGAGGATCATTCAAAATAAATATTTCCCAAATTAAAATACACAAATATTAATAACAAAAAATAAGAGGGTTTCATCAAGCATTTTGAAAATGTTTCATCAAAAACCTTCAATACAACAACACCAGCTGGAACACAGAAACGACGAGCGTACGAAAAACGTCGGGTGTTTAAAAACGCTATAAAATCCGTATTGCGACACGCTAAAAGCGAGTGCAATCAGGGCCAATGGGTCGTTGCTGACGTCACGACACGTCACCGTGACGTCACGGGTGTCCGATTACCTGCCGGCCTCCATCGGCTCGCTTTCATTAAGGCCGGGATAATTTTATCCCATGACGTGGCTCACCCATCCCGATATCTGAAACAAAAATAAACCCACTATATTAATTTGTAACATCTCACCACGGTAGCGTCTGTTCGCCTTATAGTAGCAAAATGACGATGCCGTATTGCCTAAGCTCGTTACCCTGATACGATACCCTACCCCGTGGAGTCCTGAAACCTAAATCACCGACAGAAACACAACACCACCTAAAGGTAGTATGATAGGTAGCTTCTACCGGATTTATGAGCGATGTATATTTTGGTTTCCTACATGACGGTGATTACAGATAGACACAGTAAAATTGATTTACTTATTTCACTTATGTTGACATCGAGTGTTATTCTCTTACATTTTTCTTTTATATTCCTATAGGTATTGTCAAATTTCCCGCCTGCGAGAGGATCTTTCTCCCCCAGAGGGTAAGGTTGCGCTATGGAGCTATATGAGCCGCTATGTGGTCCAGGGTTACACGAGTTAGTCATAGGCATCAATCTGGAGAATAAGCAGCATTTTTTAACTTTCTCTTCACATTTTTAATAGGTCTCTCGCCATAGAATTAATCATTTTTAATATGAGTTTGTAGAAAATTTAAACGGAATAAATTAACTCGATTTTGTTATGCCAAAGTTATAGCAATCAATGTGTAGCAGTTACGTATTCTTGAAAGCGTAAATACGCCACATATTTCTATCACATTATTAGTCATGTCGGCAACTTGATTCCTTCCGCTGAATAAAACTTGCAAGATTCCCCCCAAACAAACATACATTGCAAGTAACTTAAAAGCTTGTAAATGGTCACGAAGTTCACGCACACCAATTATTTGATAAAAGGAGCTTGATGGAGCAGGTAGTTTGCGCATTCGGCCTACGATCGTGAAAATAAAGCACCTTTCGCAATGGTCCGTCATTGGATGAGTGACCAAAAACTTATTATCTCGAGCTTCTCCGTGCTTCGAAAGGCACGTTGAGTCGTTGGTCCCGACTGCATCTGCAGTATTCGCACCCACTTATGCGCACTGGGCCCGCGTGGTGGGTCACGGCCCATTCTCCCTATTCCTTCCATAGGGAAGGTCTGTGTCTCTGCGGTGGAGACATAAATAGGCTGATGAAAATGAATTATTAGATAAAACACTTTTTAAATTGTTATGTAGCGCGATTTATTGTATTTTTCCATGATTCTCAATATGTTAACCTACCATAAGGTGATTGGTATGTATAATTTAATGTGTCAGTGGTCGGTGCATGTTGCAGAGCGAGTCGTGTGACTCCGGCGAGTGGGGCTGGGCGGGGCTAGAGGAGGCGGGCGGCGGCGGGCCCAAGGTGCCGGGGCTCGTGTCGGCCTGTCTGGCGCATCTGAGGCGGCACGGCCTTCACACACTGGGGCTGTTCCGAGTGTCTGCCTCCAAAAAGAGAGTACGACAGGTCAGTATCGATGTATGGAGGCGGGCCCATGGTGCCGGGGCTCGTGTCAGCCTGTCTGGCGCATCTGAGGCGGCACAGCTTGCACACCCTGAGGCTGTTCCGAGTGTTTGCCTCTAAGAAAAGAGTACGACAGGTCAGTGTCGATGTATGGAGGCGAGTCCAAGATGCCGGGGTTCGTGTCAGTCTATCTGGCGCATCTAAGGCGGCACGGCCTTGAGACGCTGGGGCTGTTCCGAGTGTCTGCCTCCAAGACTGGTAAGAGAGAACTGGAGATATTAAGATAAAGATTAAGGCCAGTCTGGTAAGCGTACGTGTGGTGGTTCGTCCTGTATTGTTATTGTCAATGCCTCTATGATGTCATCGCGAATGATGAACAACTCGGGTATGGATTTGGATTGGACGTGCGATATAGTACTTCTGCAAGGTAAAGAGCTAATGGTAATGAATAAAAACGTGGTGCGTGCACTAATGCGCCTATATTATTTACCAGGATACTATACACTGAGTATTATGATAGCAAAGATTGGCAGCTAAGAGAAATTGGAAAAAGGAGTATTCTCGATTTCGAGGTAGATAAAAGAAGATTGGAAAATGGATAGGTCAGATACAAAAAGTTACATGAATTGCATGAAGTTAAAATACAAATTCTATATTTTATAAATTATTTTTATAGGACTCCTTGAAATATACGTATTCAAATCGATGATCAACTATGAGTCGGTATAAGATAAATAAAGATCTCGTTGAGGTGATAATAGACTACTGAACTAAATTTTAGCACAAATTATGAAATTTATGTAATAGGTGTTAACGCAATAAATAACACATTAAACCGGCGCAATCTTACCCATTATGTTGGTGTATAAATGCTGCGGACCGAATTAGAAGAATTAACAAACTTTTTGCGAGCTCACAAGGGTGTCCACGCGTCCATGCATGTCAAAATAATTCAATACCTAAATACCACCAATGAAATCATGCTTAGTTAGGGTTCCACTCCCAGAAAATGAAAAATATTCAAAATAAATTCAGAATTAAGAAATATAATCATTAAAGTCCACTGACACGAAGACAACACGAACAGCTGTTCAATTGAGAACGGAAGAGAAAGGAAAAAAATATATTCAAATTTCTTAACTTTATCAATTGACCTGACAAGTATGATAATGCTGCAGAAGAATTATAGATAACAATAATCATTCTGCCATTGATGATCTGTCGAATTCACAAGAGTCATAATCACAACCAATAAATGACATGATTATAAATTAAGCATTTACAATAATAATTTTAAGCTGCCATTATCTTGAAGTAATTCTCTCGACCGTCGTCGTCGTAAGCTTGAAGATACTATAAAGATAATCCATTAATGCTTATGAATGTTAGTAATTATAACTTACAAATTGTGTAGTATCAATTACCTCAACCGACTTAAACATAAAAGAGAATCCACTAAACACTATCGGACGGAGGCGTCACAATAGTTTTGCCGCGCAATGTTGACCCAATTGTATAGAATTTATAACAACCCACAAGCTCTCACTGTGAGGGAATGACGTACGAATCGATTATGTTCCATTCCACCAACAACGAGGCAACACTGTAGCCGCTCCAGAAAGATCGACGGCCAAATCTTATGTTTTCGAATGTTATTTAAGCAAAGTGCCAAGAATAACTGACAAAGTTATACCTATTCAATATGAAACACTGCTAGTGTGAAATACGACAGTATTATTTTATTTTGATTGTATTAATCGTTAATTTTGTTTAAATTTTACGCAAAGCTAAAGAAGAAGAGTAGTGTTACGATACATACGCTGTTAATTTTACTTTGTTATTAATTCCAATTACCGAAAAAAACCTAATATCCCATGATCCTGCAAATTATTTACAATACAAAAATAGGACTAGGGCATCGAAACCCGGTTCAATTTTAAAAACCCGGGTATTCGGGTCTATGAGTTATGAAAACCCGATCTTCTTGAGATTTTCGAACTTATCGATCGTTTTGATATAATTTTTAAAAATACATGTAAGTGTGTTCTTATATCGAATTTCTACAATGAGTACAAATGTTAAAGGACAAGGAAATATTAAAATTGATGAAATAGTAATGTCCATATTATAAAACAGTTTTTATATTACAAACGACAATGTTTTCTTCATCAACATCATATCAATCGTACTCCCACTGATCGGTCCTGCACCACTCGAATCCAATAGGACAACAGCTGACCGTTTAACAGCTTTTTGAAACAACTGAATATCAAATAGTTAAGTCACCGTTACACAATTCCTAAGAGACCAATCTCGGAAGATAGATTGTTTAAATGTATTTAGATTTTTGAAACAAAAACTCCACTCCAGAGTTTTGAACCATATCTCTGTTATGTCCAACGCCTGCCAGGCGTCGAATGATTGACTTCGTCCCAACCACTGAACACAGAGAAAGGTCCCAATGGCTGCCGCTGATTGGCGATGCCAAGGCATTTTGCAATATTGATCATCATCTGTCCGATAGAAGGTGAATACTTAGTATCCTATTTCATAATCAAACTGCAAATTTCTTTCACTTCGTTACCAGCTACGTGAAGAGTGGGAGAGAGGTCAAGAAGCGGCGCTGGATGCAGCGGTTTGTCCTCACGACGTAGCCACCTTGCTGAAGGAGTTCCTTCGGGACTTGCCTGACCCGCTGCTCTGTAGGGACCTTTACACTGCCTTCCTTAACACACAAAGTAAGTAGCTTTTTACTAAAACTTCTTTTGAATCACGTTTCAGACATTTGAACAAAAGTTTTGTCTTTATAATACGCCTGTATCCAACATAACCCTTCTACAACAGCTAGAGGTTGGAGAAAAACAAAGGACATTGATTCAACGTGCAAATTATTCTAAAAACCGCCCTACGGTGTATCAGATACAGCAATATACTGTGGATTTGTATCCTCCACGCTCTACTGAATAGATCACCATTTTGGCTTGTTGATTTGTCATTCAAATTAACAATACGGTTTGTCTATGTCCAAAATCCTCATTGCAAATTGTCTCTCGAGATAATTTTGTTATTTGATGGTTTCAAATTATATTTAAGACAAAATTATTTTACCTTTGCTCCTTCTTAGTTCACTCGGTTATCGTAAGTAGTAACTGGTGTATCCACCCAACGTCGTAAATCTATCAAAACTTTGAAGTGTTTTTCATAATATGTTTCCAGAACTCCGCAATCGGCGTTTACAGTGGGAAGCTATGCGTCTGATAGTACAACTGCTTCCTGCCGCCCACAGGGATACGCTCCACGCTCTTCTTTCGTTCCTGTCACAACTTGCAGCTCACGCAGAAGACCAGCACCAGCCCGGAAACAAGATGGATGCCGCGAACCTGGCGACAGTCTTCGCGCCAAACATACTGCACAAAAACAAACCTAATGAAACTGCCAGGTTAGTTTCTTCCTAATGAACAATCTCCATTTCCCGATCCAGTGATCTTTAGTGAATTGTAGATCATCCCTTGAAGACTTAAATAAAAACTGATACCTGAAAAGAGGTTTCGAGTCTTGCATTAGTGAGTGCAATCGAGTCTGCACTAGTGTCTGAAAAAGAAGATAGAGAAGAACACGTAAGCGTGTACACCAAATAACTGAATTATCAAATACGCAATGTTAGAACAAAGTGATTGTAGATCAGCGAGTTTGAAATTAAGTGTTCAAAAAATCTTCCATTAAAAGAGCGATGGATACGTAATTGTGGATTATAAAACCGAGAAGCAATATCATCTCCCAGAATAATATCCTATTTACCTAAGTCTACCATTAGGGGGGTTGGGGTGTTAATAGAGCGACAATTAATGTCATGTCCCATTTTAATCGTGCTAGTCCATTTGCTAGTGCTAGTAGAATAGGTTGAAGTAAACGGGGTAATAACACAGTGGGTAGTATAAACATTTCTTTTATTTCAGTGCGGAGCAGCTATCAGAGAGGGCGGACGTGATCAACGTAGTGCGTCTACTGGTGGAGCGACAGGCGGAGCTGTGGACGCTGCCCGGGGAGATGTTACACGAGGCGTACATACACATGGCGCACACCGCACCCGCGCACCTCGACTCGCTGTTACTGCGGAGGGCCGAGTGAGTGTCGTAGTGTGAAGCTAGTAGTCCAAGCGGCGATTTTGGGATTAACTCGAGCGCGGCAGAATAACATAAGGGAGGTAACCTTGTACTTTGTGAAGTACTCCCACCATACCTGAGTCTTTTATATACTGTCGAACATCTAGGTCAGCAAAGAAAATTTTCAACAATCGGCCATAATTTTTGGTCGCGTCCAAGTCGTCAGTCTTTCGAATAGGAGTCACTGGAAAGGGTTCACGTAACGTTTCTGATGACAGAAAAATATTGTTGTGGGCCCCTATTTTCGTACGTAAACTCCGTATTTGGTCCATTGTGCAGGGTTGGTTGGGCTAGCTAGCTCATCCAACCCAGCCTTCCAGAAGCGCAGTAATCTTCTAAAAACCTATGATCTGGGAATCTCATAGGCTTTTAGAAGCGTCCTGGTCGGTGTTTTTTTCCGGGGTGTTCAGCCACGATCATGTTATTCCATGATCCTGGAATTCGCGGCCATTGAATCTGCTTCCATACATCCTCTGCACAGAGAACTCTCTGTAACACGTATGATTAGTAAAAATGCTTATTGAGTAGGTAGGTAGTGCCTTGTTATAGTGCCCAGCATTACTCGGAGATTAATTCGGTTAAGATTTAACAGTTTTTTAGTTAGTTTATTTTAAAATCTGGCACTCCGGGCCAGTTACGATTTTGGTTATTGTTATCTCTTGGGGCGCTTGTGCTTGTCATTGTTCTGACAGAAACATCCTTGTGGGAGTAGTAGGAGCTACAACTTGTGGAGCGGGCAGTACGGGGCGAACGGGAAGGAGTGAGACGCATATAGTGTAGCCACGTGAAGCTTGCCATGTAGTTCTGACATAAATATTCTTTGATATCTAACTAAATATATTCTTTATAGGTGCGCACAAGAAGCCAACGCTGCGGGGGTAGTAGTAACTACTGGTGGAGCAGGCAGTACGGGAGGGGGGGAGACGCGGGTAGTGTGGCCGCGGGAAGCTTGCACTCACACCGCCGCCGCTACCGGCGGCCCCGATCTGCGACACAGGTAGTCTTTGTGCTGTAATAAATAAAAGTTATTTAACATGCCCCAAAGTATATGCAGGCGTATTGAAGTAAAGGCGTTTTGTATCGCATCAAGATATCATGGAAAACGCCTTTATAGACCAGGGCCAAATGTTTTTAAAAATCCTATAAAGTGTAAAAAAATCGGAACAGGGTAAAACCCATACCAAAAGGAAGAGAACACCTTAAAAAAAGAGGAAAAGTAAATTACGGGTGATTTGACGCTAGGAAGGGTTGGGGGGACACCTTTAGGGGGGGGGGGGGGATTATCGCGATTTTTGGGAAAACTACAGGAGAGATGCTTCCATACTCATATTATAAATGCAAAAGTGTGTCTGTTGTAATTTGGATAGAAAGTTTGAGTCCCGGGACATAGGATATTTTTATCATAGAAATCAACCCTATAAGTCAGTGAAAAGGGGGGTGGCAGTTTGTATGAGAAACCTGTTTCCACGCAGACGAAGTGTTGTATTCATAAAATTTGTTTTTAAAATTCCGGATCACTTTGTTGTCCGTATGTCCGTCTATCCGTCTGTCTGTCGAGAACCTTTATATCGGGAACGCGAAGAGGTTATCGAGTTGAAATTTAAACCATATACTCAGGTTAACGGTACCTTGAATTGTAAAATTTCGAATATCTAAGAAAAGAAAAAAAGATATGCTCGTTTATGTTGCGACCCTACATGTCCACCTTTCTCTTCACTGCCATATAGCCCAGGCTTCATACAAAAATATAACATGTCCTTTGTACGGAACCCTCGAACAACTTGCACTTGTCCGGTTTTTGTTTTCATTGTTCATTCATTTCATTGTTTGACGACCTCCGTGGCTAAGTGGTATGTACACCGGGTTTCATGGTGTGGCCAACTCGAGAGGTCCCGGATTCGAATCCCGGTGGGGGCAGGTGTTTGTGTGATGAATACGAGCATTTGTACTCCAGTCATGGATGTTTAATATGTATTTTCTATATAAATATACTTATATATGTATTCCATCCGTTACCCTAGTATCCCATAACACAAGTCTACTGTGCTTACTTTGGGACTAGGCTAATTGGTGTGAGTGTTAGAAATATTTATATCTATATCTATATAGACAAAACTCAAAGGTGACTGACTGACTGGCATAGTGATCTATCAACGCACAGCCCAAACCACTGGATGGATCGGGCTGAAATTTGGCATGCAGGTAGATCTTATGACGTAGGCATCCGCTAAGAAATGATTTTGATCAATTCTACCCCCAAGGGGATAAAATAGGGAATGAAAGTTTGTATGAAACTTTGTCAATTTTAAACCGATCGGGCTGAGACTTAGCATGCAGGTATAAGAAGAATCATAGATGAATGTCATTGTGTATAATACAAGCCTGAGATTAAAAACTGTAGTCTACACTTCAGCTCTACACTTGTTCTATTATATATTGTATTAATGTTGCTGCCTTGTCCGGCAGACGCAGCGATAAGTCGTACGCGCGCAGCCGACGGACGCGGGAGACCGCCTCAGACACCTCCTCAGGGTCTATGTCTTCCACCATTACCACAGTCGTCACCAGGTATAATATTACCCAATTTACCATCATCACCTCCACACACACATAACACAGAAAGAGGTTAGAAGGGCCTTGTGGGCGGGGCAGGCGCACCACAGTTATGTGTTAGCAAATTCTCATAACTTTACCAAAACTTGGTTCTGATTGCGTCGTTGTGTTGTGTGTGAGCGCTGATTGGTTAGATTGTTTGATGTCCCGTCGTTTGATTGGCTATTATCTATTAGGTGGAAGTGTGGTGGGGGCGTGGCGGCGACACCGGTTTCCGCACAAACGTCTAAACATCACCCTTCTAACCATTATCTCTGTTCTATGTCCACACACCACATCGTTGACGACCTCCGTGGCTGAGTGGAAGCCGTTGGTCCCGGTTGCAAGACGTTAGCACCCATCAATCAATCATCAATGTTTCATCCAAAGGAAATGCCTGTACCCCAGCAGTGGAGCAATTAATAAACTGATGATGATGATAAATAAAATTTAGTAATATAATCTAATTTCCAACACTCACACCAATAAGCCTAACCCAAAGTATGCACTGTAAGGCTTGTGTTATGGGATGCTAGGGTAACGGCTAGAATACATATACTGTACATATATAAATAAGTATATTTATAAAGAAATACATATTAAACATCCATGACTGAAGTACAAATGCTCGTATTTATCACACAAACATCTGCCCCTCCCCCGGCATTCGTACCCGGGACCTCTCGAGCCGGCGACACCATGAAACCCGGCGTACAAATACGTGCTTCCAGAGTAGCCGAGATAGTTATTTTTTTTTTGGTCACCCATCCAAAATCGATCACTTCGAAAGTTGCTTAACTTCAACGATCGCAGCCGAAGGCGCTAAGCACTTGCACAATCGAGCTCTTTCTATTACTCCTCGTTCTCATCTTATTACCTAGTTACTTTTTTGCATTAAGACTAGAAAAAATCTTCCACTTCTTAATTTTACATGTCTCATAAATCCGTACCAACGTTACATTTGTATTTACATTTGTTTAATCTTGAAGCATAAAACCAACTCTTTGAAACTATTTACGGCTTCACTCGAACATGAATTAACCTTTAGGTTTCATTAAAGTTGATACTGTCGATCTATTATTGATAGAATCAGACAAGAGCCGCCATACACAGGCAGCTTGAAGCAAACGGAGCTCGGGATAGACTGCTTTTCAACAACACATTAAAATTACATCTTAATTTAGTCTTTAGGGTCAAACCACAAACATCGTATCTTGCATCGTAATGAGTTTCATAAAATTCCGGACGCGTGTTTTGAACTATTTGTAGAAATTCTGCGAAAGATAACGTACGCGAGTAATGTGACATAATATGACATGAATCCAGTTGTTAGCCTTAAGCTAACTTTCTAAAGCATCTAAGAAAGAAGAATTTTTATACACTTTTTCTTAACCACTTAAGAAAAAATGATTAGATATCTTTCGTTCTTACTTACTATCTAGGTTAAGAAAAACGGTTGCGAAATGGACTAAAGGGTTGTTTGTGGTTCGACAATTGTATAAAATATGATATAGGTATAAAGTGTTTGATTGTTGAAGCAGCAGCAAGGTGCGGAGCAGCGAGGAGGGCGCAAGCAGCGGCATCGGCGGAACCGCCGCGAGAGACTCCGCGCCCGACTCCAACGACTCCGCCAGCGACTACAACGAGGTGAGCACACAGCAATTACGATCAAATCACAATTTACTCGCATTTAAAGTTTTAAAAGATAAAAAAGCAAAGGTACTACATTTTTTTTTGGTGCAATTGTAATTTTTACCTTCGTAAATATTACTGTAAGAAGTTTTGCTAACTCTTCCAAATATCTCAGTAGCGTTTTCATATTTAAACTTCATTATATGTAGTATTTTAGTTATGTTCCTATCTTCATTAATTTGGACACATTAATTCAAGTTTTCTAAACAGAAAAAACGCCGATTATCACCATTATTATTATTAACTTGACTTGAATGAAGTAGCTATTTTTAACTTATCAGTTTCACTCAGTCGTTTCGCTCACTTTCCTATACGGGATGGGTTGGTGGTGAACATCGTCTCTGTATCTCGTCTGCGGGAATCCCTTGAGCTGTTTTCATTGATAAATTGTGTTGTAATTCATATGCCACACTGATGGGGACATTTTAGTGGGTTGTCGTGGGCGGGAACTGGGTCGGTTTATGCTATCTGCTCATTTAGGCTTTCTGGGATTCGTCATGCAGCAGCTATGTATATATTTTTTTGCAAATTTGCAAAGAAATGTTTCTTACCTTAATTAAATAAATAAAGTTAATATCTATATTATTTCGGCGAAGAATGATTGCACTTGATTAGAGGATAACGATGCGGTGGTTAGCAGATTTTGTATGCGATCATGGAAATTAAATAATTTTGGAAATGTCTGGTCATAGGTAGCTGACCAAAATTACTGTTTTGAACTTCAGCGTGCCTCAGTATAACTAGAGCTTCGTCCACATTTGTAGCATCTTGATGTATCATAATCAGGCGTATCGTATCGAGTATTTGTATCATACATATGGACGCGCATTTTTACTATGTCGTATTAATTAGCCGTATCTTGTAAACAACGCGTCCATACTTATCGAATGGTGTATCGTATAATGTAACGGTTTTAACTGAACGGATATGGACGCTACAACTTTTCCTCCGATCCTCGTATCTTTTCCTGATACGTCTATTTTTCAGTGCACCTTCCCCTCTCGTACAGTTCAGTTCAGACATGCCTTTGTTCACAAACGGTTCAGCGATATCAACGTACGCGATTCAAATTCTTTCAAATGTATTCGCGTCCAAACTTGTTCAAAACGACCTGTACCCCCTTTGATGATCGCGGCAAAACCGGCACAATTCGCAGTGTATCACGTATCGTATTGCGATACAGTTACATGACACAGCATCAAAATACGTCTATACTACCGATCGTGATACGCGTATCCATATACGAGGTGTACCAATATACGCGATCAGTGCGGATCGGGCCGTATCAGATACGGCATGTCTCATTACCGGGTATCATCTTGAGTCCATACTAGCGATCATGATACACGACGATGCCACGCAATGCAGATACGATACACCGAAATGATACAAATATGGACGAAGCTTATGGAATTTCTACATATAATTTGATGTTTATCAACAGACGCTAGGAGGGTCAGACGAGGATAGCTGCGTGATTACCGCCTCACTGCACATCCCCGCGGCGGTGGCTCGGCCTTCTCCCGCGGCGCCTCCCCGCCGGCGCTCCACGTCCGGCTCGGAGTCGTCCGCGCGGCGCGACTCCGCCGTGGGCTCGTCGGCCGCCTCCCCCGCGCCCTCCCCGCCACCCGCCTCTCCTCCGCCACCGCGCGGGCCCCACATCGACCGCCTCCTGGCGCTGGGCCGGTTAGTACCTGCCCCATATCGCTCCGCGTCCGGCTCCGACTCCAAGTTGCATCTCCGCCATCTGCTCGTCGCCTGCCCGTCATACTCCCAGCAGAGACTCGACTCCAAGTCGTACCTCACCTGTCCGTCATATGTAACTCCTAGTGGAGTCTTTAGCCCAATAGAGCTCGTATACAATCATTCTTCTTTTTTATGATAGGAAAATGCGTGACCCACACTTACCTCGCCCCTGTATGGGTGACAAGATTATTTGGGACTCCTCTATGAGACCGACTCAATGGCGGTTCGGCTTGAGAGGCAGGGTCTACCTAAACCTATTTAATACGGCCTACATGCTTAAAACCTAACAGTGCTCAGCAAAAGGCTTTCGTGTAATCCAAACACTTTTCACCTTTGATACAATTATTACCCTAGCGCCCTCAAACTCAAATAGGCGCGTGATTAAAATGGAATGGTGATGAGTGGCGCTCGGTGTCAAAAAACACACCCTACTTACTGCCTTGGTTGGTCGACCTTAACCTCGAATTCATCTGCGTGCTGTCAATTCTACAAGCGGTCCCTTCACTGCCCTGCCTGACTTAAGAAGTCAACCGCGTTGATCTTGTAACACAGCATTACGTTTGTGAAGCACGGCGGTTCTAGCGTACACTACGAGCAACGATTGTAGAAAATGGAGTCCATAGTGTTATCAGAAATCTTTTGCACTTAGTCTTGTCAATCAATATTCTTCCCATTATTGGAATCAGGTTTAAGCGATTGTTACCTAAAAATAGTTTCGCCAAAATTTCTAATTTCAGAGTGTTTAAAATTTGCGAGTAGCATTGAAAAATCGTCCTAAAACCATTTTCAGGGAACGCAACACATCAGACGCGCGGGCAGTCGTGCTTAGACAGCACGACGAGACCACCAACATAAGAACCAGGACCTCGGCTCGTCAAGAACATGGGATCAGAAGAGAAGAGCACGCGCTCAGGAGAGAAGAGAACAACACCAGGACGAGAGACGAACAGAGCGTCAGAAGAGAGGAGAGGAGAGAAGGCACCACCACTCTCTACAAGAGAGGAGAGCTTATTTCTAGTGCACGGTCACCGCCCACATGACAAATTATATACCTACGTGTTTTTATACATAAACGTCTATTAATCAGTGTGTTGTTTCACTTTCGATATAGCTAAATGAGAATAAAATACTTATCGAGATTTTCCTAAGATAAGGTGATCCATCATCTCTGATGAAAAATCTACAAATGCTTCTGTTTTTTATGAATTAAATGGTAGCAGTAAAAATAACAATTCTTTAACACCGATTTAATATGAGTGACATTTCATGTTAGTGGTCGGTCACACTTTCGTAACATCGGTAATTCATGTTGAGGTTGCAGGAAAATAAAATCTTTTAACTTGAAATAATTTGAACTAACGAGGTGATGCCAGCGTTAATGAATTTATAGATTATTTATATTATATAAATCATATTTTTTTAATAGAAACAATATTTCATCGATCTCAAATTCCGGTTTTGAAATAATTTAGGAATTCCTTTAAAAATGAGACCACCTTAGATTACAGAAGTTAAACCATATTTTTCCATAAACAGTTGCTATTTTCTATGTAATTTGTCCCGCATGATGATGGCGCCGAGTTTGGACACTCCATCTTGGTATTCGGTTTTACCCAAGGGAGGCACTGCTGATGTGGTCTCTGTAAATGAATAAGAATAGATTAAAAAGGGTATTTTTCAGCAAAGGAATTAATATATAATTATGACGGTATCGATAGTATAAAACTCTAAAAAGTAATCATTCAAAAGTTCGATATCTGCAACAGTCATTCATGCTCATGACTCATCAGGTGAATGAAACCGGTACATCTAGTGTTAGCGACGATATTTTTGACATTTGCGGTGGCCACTTATTGAAAATAGGGGTGATGACAGGGAACAGTAAACGAAATTCTATTAAGTCCGTCAGTTAGATGATCAAAAAATAATGGACACGTATTTTTTCTTTGGGCAATCAACCAAAAAGTGACAAAGTTATAGCGCGTCAAAGTTTGGGAGTAGGGGCTCGTGACGTCACTTTTGAGTGAATTTTCACTTATAAGTGTACTCAAACGTGACGTCATACGACTTTTCAAATCAATATATCTCTGCAATGTTTATTATTATTTGAAAAATGAAAAAATACGTGCCCAATACTTTTTGATAATCTACCTGATAAACGAAGAAAAAAAAATTAGTCATCATCCCTATTGTGAAGAGCTAAAAACAAAGAGATTCGAAAGCAGTTACTGTTCCTAGGTTTAAGGCCGGTCGCCTGGCAGACGCATTAGCTCACATACACACAATCGCTGAAAAATTACAAGGAACAAAAATTGCGTAACACTGTCATTGGCCGAAGTAATGACAACAACACAATCGGCAATGACGGAACAGCTGATCTTCGTTACTCGCCTGATGCTGCAGTCTGTAGCCGCTGCATCGTCAATCTGGGGTCCTTAAAATGAAGTGTAAAGAAGCATTTCTGCAGGCCGGCCAGGTGATTGTTTTGGCAATTTATAACCACTGTACCAGCTATCTTCGCGTCTAGACTACCACCACTTAACATAAGGTAAGATAGAGTCATTTGTCTATCTAGCTATAAAAATAAATCATTGGTGAGTTACATCCTATCCATTTCATTTTTTCCCCGAATAACTGATCGCATTTAACTCTCGAATTGGCAGCTCCCAGAGATCCGGCTTGCTTGAACATGATTGTGGGCCCTGCCATCCTGGGTTTGAGATCGACGCGGCACGGGTCACCTAGCAGACGTATTGGCTGGCGCGTACAGGCCGGTGCCGCTCTGGTCTACAGCGTTTTTCATCGTTGTCTATAGAACTTTCCTGCTGCTTAGCTAAGGAGACTTTCAAATATCACATCTTACCGCATTTAGCTCTCGAATCGCTGGCTCCCGTAGATCCAGCTTGCTTGGACATGGTTCTGGGCCCGGCCATCCTGGGTTTAGGGCCGACGCGGCACGGGTCACCGGGAAGACGCATCGGCTGCGCACACGGTCCCGTACCGCTCTCGTCTGCTGCTCGCTGGAGCCCATCAAATTTAGCTCCTGGACCTGTTAGTTAAATCACCTATGTTACTTTCTGCTTGGTAGAATAACTGATCGTCTTTAAATCAATCAGCCTTTTAATGTCCTCACTGCTGAAGCAGTGGATTATGAATGAAGAATGCTGCAGATGCAGCCATAATCAAGCTTGGGATGATACATTTTAGTTAACCCGTCCCACCCTATGATAACATGATGAAATGTTATATCATATGATGAAAAATTGCTCAACTTTCACGATCACAAAATATAAAATTATTAAATTGAGGAGGTCCTCATTTAAAAACATACAAATATGTACTCTTTAAATTAGGAATAACTTTAAAAGATACAATCATATGGACTTTACCACTCTCACAGTAGTCGACTCGATAGGTGGTCTTGTTGCGATCCCTGTCAATACGTTGTTTGAGTTCTGGAGATGCTTCGTTCTGTAGGATGCTGTACAGCATAGGATATTTTGACTGCAGCTGGAATTTTTAAAACATAATTAATAATTGGTGTAAATACTTGTAGATATGTATGATGGATATTAATACATTGCACCTTGTCAGAATATACGATCTAAATAAATGTCGTTAGTTCTTGCAATAAATACGTAATTCATTTCATTTCTTACCTTATCAAGAAAAGCATTAGGTTGATCATATCGAGACGAAGAAGTTTCGGGACTGGCAGCAACTCTCACAGGATACAATTTGGGGTCTAAAAGAGGTCCCATTATCTAGAATACAGAAAATAGAGTTATAAACTGAAGAACGAAAGTGAAGAACTGAAATTTAAGAGGGGTGTAGGCACGAAGTTTTCCCTTCAATTCAGGGAGCTATCTAGGTAATACCACCACTTTAATAGGTTGTGTTTCAAAGTGACTACTAAAGGTTGCCAGTGCTGTTTTTCCTGGATAGAAATTGGGTTTGAGTCGACAAGGTTAGAGTGACTGAAACTGCAAGTTTCTCCGCCGCAACTTTACATCTAAACTTTACTCACACTTAATTTAAATAGCATGAAGCTATTTGACTGGATCTCCAAAATCACAATAGACACCTAATAATAATAGTTTAATAAAATTATTTGCTTTATTACCTCGTTTCTGCTCCAACCTCCATCCTTTCCTGGGGGCAGTTGCGGAGCCTCTCCCCCGGAATATTGAGGACATCGACAGTCTGGGGGCCTGGTGTGCTGCATGCATGCTTGGTAGAAGGCTAACTCTTGGCCTGATAGCTTGGGGACTCTACAAATCGCAAGAAAGTTGGAGATCATCATCATCGTTAGCCTATTAATATGCCCGTTAGGAAAGGTACTTTTCTTACGGATGGAATAGCGAGATCGGACCGTGATTAACCACGCAGGCTTAATGCGCATTGATGAGTGCTAACGACTGCAGATGTAATCAGGACCAACAACTTAACTTGCATGCTGAAGCATGGAAGAACTCGAGCTGGTAAATGTTGGTCACCCATCCTTTATACGACCTTTCATCCACCATCAGAAAAATACTATCGACATCGATTTAATATGATTGAACTAATTCCATGGGAGAGTGCAAATCCCTACCCTTAAATACACTGCAAATCCTTCTTAGGGCCTAAGTTACGTACCCGTAATTACGGGTAGGTATAGTTGTATTTACGACAGTGGTACTTACCACTGCCCCTATCGTAAATACAACTATGGCCACGAACCTGCATGGGACCACTTGGAGAGTATACACTTTCAAGCAAAATTTTTTTTTCTGAATCGTTCTAGGCGTGTTCTCGTAATCTGGAAAATACATAAAAAAAGATTGACGCTTTGTGAACCTCCTACTTTTTCGAAGTCGGTTAAATATGTATATATCGGTCTTACTACAGAAAAGTTATTTAAATTTTGTATGACATTTTTCTTAAACTCGTTTTGAATGCATGTCCATAACTTTTTTGTGGTAATAAGGTGAAACTGAAGTTTTTTTGTAATGAGTATACTCATTAGAACACATACTCTGCTAAGGCTGCGCCTCCTCCACCAGCCCCTGGTAAATTGGGCCAAAGGTAGTCCTTCCTATAGGTAGTAAGATAATGGTCCATAATCGGAGTCTGACAGCAGTTTTTCCTTACTCTTGAAATGTTACATTACTACTGGAAATTTTAACGGTGGAAATTCTAATATTTTGCATAATTTACTGTGTTGAAAGGTGTGGATTTAATTTTCTAACATGGTCTAACAGATGTGTGTCATTTTGTGACAATCGTTGTCATCTAGATTTAAGGCTTTAATTATTATGATCTTTTAGTACAATATTTTGCAGCATAGATAATGATTGGTCTGCCTGCGGTTGACGAAGGGCATAGAGCAACGCGGCCAGGAGGGGAGGCGGCATTCACAGCGTTCCCCTCTGTAGATTTTCCCTCGCTGTTGGACCAGCTCAAAAACAAAACTAAATTGCACTCGGATATTTCACTAGCTGCACTAGACTAAGTCAAGTCGCGCGAATGTATGTTTCAGATCAAAAATGTCAAAATGATGTATGTATGAATGTAATTTGATGTAAAACATATCTAGAATACTAAAAATACAAAAGGATTGTGTTAAAGGAGATTGGTCAAATTGGCCTAAATGCAAATAAAATATTGACATATACAGTAATTCTTGGCGTATTTTATACTTTATTTTACAGTCATTAGATTTTAACGGCCACCTTTAAATAATATATTAATTTTAAAAAAGGACTTCTATTTTTACCGGTTTGGAAAACATACGAATCATTTTTATTGGCTATGGGTGTAGTAACATTCACAAAGACTGATCGAGGTTGTTTATATAACATCAAAACAAATCTATTTTGTAAAGATTGATAAAAATTTTTTTTTATTACACTGTGGTATTAATATCCACAACTTTATTATCATTTTTACTACATGCAAATGTGCTAAGACAATTAATATAGATGGTAGGCGACATCATAAAGTCTATTGCCGTCTATGCCGTTATTGTTGTAATTGTGTTGTTGGGCGCAGAACTGTAGGTGGCTGCGCTCATGTGATGACAATAATTTGGTATTTGAGCTGGGCCAGATACCAAGAAAATATAAATCCCCCTGCACAGTTTCTCGATGATATTTTAATTCAAAATGTAGATGATATGTAATATTAAACGCAACATAAAAGTACTTAAGTTGTTTTATTTCATTAATTTACCTTATCAGAATATTTAAGCTATGTCAGGAATATACATATTTCACACATTGATCAGAACTATCATGAACCTACGCAATATATTATTACATTAGAATTACCTTTTACCATTATAAACCTAATTATTACTAAGAAAATATCCTATTGGTTTTTATAAAATTATGATAACAGTTCCATGTTTCTCATAACATAGGTAAGCAGGTACCAGTTCCTTGACATGCATTTTGTTAGTGTAATTAATGTTAGACACTTGTCAAATGAAACAAGATTGCTTCTGAAAGTCGCAATGGCATAATCATGATTTTAAAACTTACTCTTGTGCATTAATTTTAAAAACATGCACATATCTGTTATTTTACATGCTCTATATACCTGAATCTAATACATAATATCGGTACTTGGCTTGATTGTCCTATTTTCCTATATAAGTTATTTGGTTTTTATTATTCTAATACCTATGTGCCTATTTGCAAACATAACCTCAAAATCATTCAGTGTATATGGTTTATAGAAGTTCTCAGGAGTGGCCGTCGATAATATTCGTTTCTACGGTAATTTATATATAATTTCGAATGTAGGAAACAATTTTTCATGGTTATTGGTTTTTAGGCCAAACATGTATGGAAGCTGAGCAATCTCCTTTGACATATAAGTAGAATTATTAACATATTTTTTCCATTTAACCACATTTAACACAAAATTCATATTATTTTGTTAAAATTCTATCATCTGACTTGTTTGACAAAAATATCGACTCGCCAGTACAAATTTCAGATCTGTCAATAAAAAATCATTAGTTTCATCTATGCCCAATTTAGCACTGTCATTTTTTGTGTGTGTGTCGTGATCACAACTTCGTTTTTGCGAAAGTATGTTGGACTGCATTTGTGTGCATATTCCTCCCCCCGCAAAAAGCGACAGAATGATTTCAGTAGTACTACGACCTTATGGCTACTCCTCTCCTAGCCGCATCAGCTAAGCAACACTCTTTGTACCGTATATAAAATCGGTAGTTATTATCAAAGGTTATATGATTATATAAAACTACGATTTTACAGTTTTTGACCAAGGACATCATAGTAGGACTTCTAGCAATATATAACAGTTAAGTAAGGGCCTGCGCTGCGTTAAGGTCAAAGCGCACCTCATGTAATATCCCAACAATAACAAAGTCTATCTACTACGTTAGGAACTGCAAAAAAGAGTTGTCCGAAATTTCACCAAGATCATCAACAAGGGATTTTTTACAATATTCTAGTAGGTAACATCATTCATAAAACTCTAATACACTAGGGTACTAAATTGATTTCATAATAAATGAAAAACCAGTTCATGTATTAAGTGAAATTTATCAAAGTCGAAATGAATTATCAGATCACAGTCTACAGCCAATATGTGTAAATGTATGGGTTCCTCCAACGTCCGTACTTCGGCTCTTTGCGTGGGCGGCCGAAGGGGTTCTTCTCCAGAACCACTTTGCCGAGCAGCCCGTGGCTCGCACCGTAGCTCGTGTCGCCGGTATTCACGCGCAATATGCGGCGAAGCTCCTCTGTGAAAGAAGTTTTTTAGTCAGTCAATGGGACTTTAGGACTGTTAGCAAATTGTTATAAGTACCTACTTTAACTTAAGTGGAAACTACAGGGTTTCATAACATTGATAGGCTAATGATGATAAGTTCACAAAAGTCTACGTAATAAACAGAAAATATTTTGGGAAGTGATCAAATAAAAGAGAGAAGATTTTTTACGGTAATATCGATGTATTACTAAAACATTTTTGCTATGCCTTATCGGGGTCTATGTTTGAAACTCTATTTTGTTCACACGGAATGCATATCTATTGTACGTAGAAGAAGAAAGAATGAGCGAGTAAATCCGAGCTAAAAGCCGAGAGTTAGTTGCTTCCTCGCCGTTATGGCTGAATGATGATAAAGAACTCATTCTGCAAAGACGGATCATGTTTCGCCACACGCTGAGCGGTAACACCACCTAGGCTTGGCACAAGCTCTTGTATGCGGTCTATAGTGGGAAATTAAGTTTGACAAGTAACCACTCTGCAAAGACTTCTTCTTCGAGGAGGGTGGGTTGGTACTTCTTCCTTCGCGGCGGGAGGTATGAGCCGTGCTGGCTTGTATCCGGGATGTCAACGTCGTCGGGCAGGCGAAGAGTTTGAAAAAGGCACGTTCACCGTGTAATATACTATGCTTCATCATCATCAGCCTTTTAAAATTCCCACAACTGGGACACTGGCCTTTCCTTTGGATGGTATGATAGGAGGATGGAGCATGGCCCACAACGCGGGTCCAAAGCGGAATGGTGGGTGCAAACGACTGAAGATGCAGCCTGAACCCACGGGTTAACGTCTGAAGCACGAAGGAGTTAGAGACAATAAGTTTTTGGTCAGCCATTCTATGATTGACTATTGCGACAATTGCTTTATTTCCATAGGCGCCGACCGAACGCGCTAACCATCTGCGCCATCGGGCTCCTCTTGAAACTGCTAAGAACTCACTCGGACCAATCAAGGTAGAGATCTTTGGGGAGGCCTTTGCTTAGCAGTGGGGGTCCTGTGGCTGAATGATGATGGCGAACTCACTTTGCAAAGACGGATCGTACTTCGGCCGCATGGACAGCGACGAGGGCGGGTCGGCGTACTTCTCCGGGCGTGGGGGGCGGTACGAGCCGCGCTGGCTGGTGTCCGGGATGTCCACGTCGTCGGGCAGACGAAGAGTTTGGAGTGCGCGCGCTCGCCGTGCTAGGTTCACTGACATGAACGGGAGCTCTGCGAAGTCAAAAGATCGGGAATTATTACGCAGTATATAACTTATTTTCAAACCACTTAAGGCGTTCCCTGCAGTTAAGAGCACTTATTCTATCCTTCCCTTTATACGTATAAATGGAATAGGGAAAACCACGAACCACCACGTGGGTTCCTGTAAGCTAAACTACCCTCTTCCCCCTGAATATTGTTATCAGTAACAAGCCTCATATTATTTTAATTTATACTTAGATGCAAACCTAATGCTGGTTGTGCAATGTGCAGTTAGCGCAAGTAAACGGAACACGCACGGGGTTTTAATGAAATGAATCCTGCGTAAAGTTACTCACTGCTAATAGTAACCTCTAACCCTCGCCGAAAGTAAGTAATAGAGTTTGAATTGCACTATAGTATTAGAGGAAGCGGCAAACTTCTTGAGCAAAGTAAAGTAAAAAAAGTAGTTGTATTCAGAAATCAATATATTTTTATTCAAATTGGATTTATACCACTACCACTCGTTATTGGACATATTTTTTACCTGCGGAGAAATACGAGAGAAGAAAAAATCCACAACATTAAAAGTATAATCTAACAACATTTACAAATCCATTATGTTGTTATAGCGCCAATACAATCATGATTTATTAATATAGAAAACCTGTTGGAATGATTGGAACAGTTCAAACCCAAGCATTTTGTCTGTAATATAATCAGACACTTTGTAATAAGCTTAATAAAATAAGTGCTTTTTTTAAATTATCTTTGATATTAATTTATGGTTAACTCTTGGATATTACTTGGGACTTTATTGTAAGTATAAGCATAATAGTAGGGGAGCCCAAGCGGGGATTTTTGGATTTACTCGAGCGCGGCAGAATATTAAATGAGGAGCAACCTTGCACGTAGTTAAACACTCCCACTATACCTGAGCCATCTATGTAGGGCCGAACGTCTAGGGCAGCAAAAAAAAATTTCAACAAACGGCTATGACTTTTGGTCGGGTCCAAATCGTCAGTGTTTTGAATAGGAGCTAATGGAGGGTTCATGTAATATCCCTTCTCAATGTTTGACGAGCTCGGTTATTTTTTCCTATATTCTACCCATTAAATGCAAACCGCGGCAGATCAATATTTTTTCCGTTCTTAGAAACGTTACATGAACCCGCTAGTAGCTTATATTCAAAAGACTGATGATTTGGGCGCGACCAAAAGTCATGAACGTTCATTGAAATTTAGTTTGTGCTGCCTTAGACGTTCGGCCCTACATAGGGGGATCAGGTATAGTGGGAGTACTTAACTAGGTGCAAGGTTGCTCGCCATATGTTATTCTGCCGCGCTCGAGTAAATCCAAAAATCCCCACTTGGGCTCCCCTACTATACTATACTATAAACCTTTAAATGAATTATTGATTTTGTGAAGGCAGGTAAAATTAGTTTATTCTTGTTTCTTGTATTAAGTGTGTGAACATCACTGTTTTTAAGAAACAAATTAATATTTTTTCTTACAAGAAATAAATTTTCTTATATGTATTGTGATGCGACCGTCGTTATGCCAAATTCTTTAAACCTATCTCATAAGGAATCCTTAACTTTAAGATTATAAATTGATCGGATAGCTCGTTCTGCAGCACAAAATAGTTAGAATGTCCGCAGCGTTTCCCCACAATAAAATACCGTACGACATTACACTATGGAAATAACTAAAGTACACTAATTGCCTGCGCAGTAGCAATTTTTTTATGTAAAATTGCTACTGCGTAGGCTTCCATTTCTATATCCGATGATCAAGAAATTTGCCGGGGTGTATAGTATTAGAAATGAAAGGTACACCTCTAGAGCAGTACTTGCACAGATACTCTGTCCTCTTCAAGTCCTGTATCTCGTGCTCGATTGGTGTGGGATCAATATCCTTGGACATGTACATCTTGGTCAGCTTCGGGTAATCCTCGCGAAACTGATACACAAAACAGTTTATACTAAATCACCTTTGATTAAGATTTTTTTTATATTCTCTTACATAATCATCATCATCATCCTATTAATTTTCCCACTATTAAGACACAGGCCTTCCTATGGATGGAATAGGCAGATTGGGCCACCACCCTTACACGGGTCCAGTGAGGATTGGTGGGTGCTCACGACTACAGTTGCAGCCGGGACCAATGCTACAACGGCTTAACATGCCTTCAGGAGCAAGGAGGAGCTCGAGATAGTAAACTTTTGGTCCCTCATACAATGACCGACCACTGCGAAAGTTGCTTAAGTTCATCCACCGCAGTCGAACGCGCTAACCACATGCGCCATCGAGCTTCTCCTCGTATTCTCTCACATCATCATGAATTTATTAGTAATTTCAAAAGATTCAAGCATATAATTCCAAGTAGCCTGTTCAGACTTTGGAGGAGCAAAGCAGTTTGCCCTGACATCCCCAGACAGAGTCCAATCCAAAGTATCTTCACTAAAGGCCTACGCAGACTAGGGCGACATAGAAAAATATTTTCATTCATTTTCTTGATCGATTTGAAAAACATCAGGTTTTTAAGAAATCAATATGGGAACATCTAAAGAAAATTAAACTTCATGCCAAAGAACGTGCTATAGGATGCCACTTGGTGCCGCGGCGGGCTGTGTCGGCGTTCCGCGACTAAAGTAATACAAACGGGGATAGACGACTCATTTGAGCGGGAAATCTCGGAGCGACCGAAAGTGCGCATTATTCGAAAGACCCCTGACGGTAGTGCAGTTGTAGGAAGGCCTAAAGCAAAGCTCATCCTCCGGGCTGGGTGATCTTAGTCCGGGGGGCGCCGCCCGACCGATGTTGATACCTCTGTATATGTATACATTTGAGTCTTCGAATTCTGTCAGCGCGATGTAGGCTTTCCGTCCTATTCTTCGATTTCATATGGCCATCATTGAGTGCTCCGCTGATGGCGCTGTCTTTTGTTACAAGGCGAGTAATGTCTGGCTAAATTTAGTTATATGTGGGGCTTGTAAGTGTCGACACCACAGACGCCAGTGTGCGCTGATCGGTGGCAAAATCTCTTTACATGCCATCTGCGTAGGCGGTCAATCATTACGTTATGGTTTAAGCAGTTAGTCTATAGTCTATACCGTACCCGTTCCACGGCGTCCTTGTAGTATTCATGCCGGATGGGACAGAGTACATCGGGACAGCGGCGAGGCGCATCCTTAGCCTTGAGAGAGTCACGACTCAGGCCCACGATCAGACAGTCATCGTCGACTGCCTTGCGACGAGGACTCTTGCTAGGGTTGACAAGTTCATTATATGATTGCGGAAGAGTTTACATTTGTTCATTCAAATGATGTTTCAGATAGGTACTTTTGTTTTTGTATTTTTTTTTTATTCCTAAGATCTAAAAATAAATTCAGAAACTAGTCATTTAAATGGTCAAATTTTCTTTAGGTATTTTTCAGGTACTTCCAGTCCACTTTTGCTTTTTGGAGTACTGCTCTTACTAAGGTAGTTGCTAACAACTCTAAAGCTCTAAAGCTACAAGAGTAAAAAACTACTGTATTACCTAGTTACTGTAGTACATGGTTTACAGAGCCGGACCGTGAGTAAAGGGGGCCCTGGGCTAATACTATTTAGGGGCCCACCTAATTAGTCAAAGTATAGAAAAAAATGAGACAGTAAAATATTTAATTTATATTATATTATGCCTTAGTATTATACTACTGTTAATATATTGACAATTTACAAAGCAACCTTTCTGCAAAGTGCAGACGTGGCAAATTCTTTAATTTGCTCCTTACATTCTAGGGGGTAATATAAATGAGGTTACATTCAAAAATGTATTTTTTCTACATTGAATGTACTTCTAATCATTCAATCTACTGCTTTGAAGAAAATAATTTTAATTTTCTTTCTTTGGTGAATCACTAGTTCAGTTTCGTTTGTTCCCAACGAGTCACACTTTAGACATCTATTTTCAAAATATTATATCTGCTATTTCTTATTCAAATTCAGCGATATTTGCCTGTCTGAATTTCCGATCTGTTTAATAAAAGTATGGATTCTTTCGCATTATCGTCTATTTTTGGCTTTGTCTTGACTTGTCTTTTTCCCTTGAATCCACGGGGCCCTGGGGGCCATTCGCCTAACGGAAGTGCTTTGGAAAACGCTAACGCTTACGATTTCATTTTGTTATTTCTACACGCCTGAAGTTTTCAAATGCCTCGCGCTCTTTTTTTTCTTTTGCATTGGTAATAACCATATTAAAAAAAAATGAGCGTGAAGTATTTGAAAACCTTCGGCGGTCAGAAATAACAAAATAAAATCGAAAGCGTTAGCGGTTTTCCAAAGCATTTCCGTTAGGCGAATGGCTCCCTGGGCTGAAGCCCAAAACGCCATATGGTAGATCCGGCCCTGCTGGTTTATATTACCTAGTTTTTTAAGACTCCCTCAGCAACCTAACATTTTTCGGGTTTAAAAGTATCCTGTCTCAATCCAGGTAGTAAACTGTATGTCTGCCGACTTTCATCCACATCCGTTCAGGCGTTTTGGCGTGATTGAGTAACACACATACAAACTTTCACATTTATAATATTTTATGTAAGAAAGTACCAACGATATCTCAAATCACTGAGATCAAGCCAATCAAGCCTTGCTCATACTTCTTTCTGTAACGCTGGAACATTATTACGATTAGGTACTTACTTACGGTTTGTTTTTTTTCCAAAATCCACCATATACACAGATCTGAATTCAATTTCACCGTCAAATACGGACATTGTTTCCGAATTATTCATCTAGGTACACAACATTTACAAAAATCTTTTATGAAAACAATTTTTTGCTCATTGACAAAATATAGTTTTTTGCCTTGTTGGCATTTTGATTTTTCAACGATACTTATAATCTTTTTGTAACTGAAATAAATCATAAAATCGTAGAATCCTAGGCCCATGAATAAAATTTTAGTATGCAAACATGGACCTTTTTTAGGTAGTTCGTTTTCAGAGCGAGTGTACCTATTTAATTACTAAGTACGTACATTAATTTAAAAAAAACTATTCGATCCGACCAACGATATTTAATACGTAATTATAATTAAATATCGTTGGATGCGATTAATAGTTAGCAATAGTATAAAAAACTTGAAAACCGTGAGCTTTAATCAAACATAAAATTCTTGGTCTTTTCTCATTTCGGCTGCTAATTACAAATAAAAGAAAATTAATATAAATCATATCACTTTATTTCGTAATAATTATACATCGATCACATGCATACTTATAAATAACAAAATATTTCACGTTAGCAGTGATAAAATAAAATTATAATTTCCGAATCATTGGTCATAGTATCGCTGAAACATTACATGGGTATATTAACATTCTTGATTCGAGAAAGTAAGATTAAACACTGAATAAACTGGTAATTTGGTTATAAAACACGTATGCTTAAATTTACAGCCTTTTGCCAAAGGAATTTGAAAATAAAGTACCATGTTAAATTTAAATACGTGTTTTACAACCCGTTTATAACAAACTCTTGGCTTTGCACAACATATAAATCTTTGATTTTCGCAACAAATCTAAACATACACCCCCTTTTTACGCAACGTGGACAAAAGTTAAACCTGGACTAAAACTGATGCTGTCACTTTTATTTGCTGAAAAGAAGACCGACCCAACATAAGGTTAAAACCAAGACTAACTTTAGTCATAAATGAATAACTCGGTAAAAGCCATACACATACATTTAATTAATAAAAAGACAGAAAATTTCGTCGGTTTTATAGTGTAATTGAAGATTCAAATGAGGTCCCAGCCTTCGTTTAAATAATTTAACTTAAAAACTATAATGATAACTTAGATAAAGGATGTACAAAATAATGGAAGAGCAGATTTTAAGGCTCTTTTATTAATAAATGTTGGAATTTGTAAATATCGATAGTTCACCAATGCAAACCAAATCGAAATTCTTTTTTGGTTACAATGTTACATTTAAATCTGATTCCATTTCATTAGTTACACAAAGAGACAAAGGGGCAGCCATTTGTTTAACTTAATGTAAAAAATTACAAATATAAAACCATAAAAGTAAATTATAAGGTGTTGTCAAAAATTTATCGTAACTGTAAGGCACTTGTCCCTTTGGTGTTCTTTTCTTGAAACTAAGCGGGTATTAAGTGATTTTTTTAACATTGCTTGGGCACACTTCTTTTTATAAAAAAATCGAGCCTTCGCAAAACATTCAAAGTTATACAACAATCAGCGATACCATGATTTATTTAATAATTTTATATATCTTTTACACCAGGACCACATCTTCACTTTCTATAATTATGAAAAATGGCAACACTGAAACATATCAACAAATGAGCTCTTTTTAGCTTTCATTAGAATCGTCGATATAACTTTGCAAGAAGCTAGAACACACATGAATAAAAAAAAGTGACCGAGACTTGTTAAACACCGCATTAATTTAACTTTAAACACAGTTACATACTGCTTTCAGTCAAATATAAAAATACAGGGTGTCAAAAACAAGAGCATTAATATTTTCTTTGATATTTTAGTTTTTTACAGCTTTGATAATTTATACATGTTCAAGCATATGTTTTAAACATGCCGTAAAGTCACGGTCTTGAAACAACATTTTGGGAATACATAACAAGAAAAACCTCAAACTTGTTGAGGAGGCGAAATAAAATTATTTGTGAGTTTAATAACTACGTCTTTTATTATTATAAACTCAATAATATACTTACATAAAATAATATTTAAAATACGAAAATTTCTCTCTTTTGATTCTCACACGAGACAAAAATATAATTCATGTTGAATAATAACAAATTAGCGGTCGAGCCCCCATTAAAACAATATTGTAATTATAATACAAGCATTTTATTATACAAAATATATCATACTTTTTACAACTCTATCATATTATTATATATGTACAATACTAGATAATATTATATATTCAGTCGCGTTACCGCATCTCACTTTTCAAAATAATTATTAACTGTATTTTATAATTATAATGAACAAACTTTAATCAGGCCATTGTCGTAATAACTGTCTACAAATTATAATATATTTTTTTACAATAAAATAAAGGATGTTAATAATTACTTCCAATATTTTACAGGTGATAGCTACTAATATTTTAGCAAAAGCAAGCACGTATAACTAAATATTGGTCACTTAAAAACATTTTTGTTATAAAATTATTTAACCAAAAAGTGGGATTATATTTGTTATATGATTATACAATAAATTTGAAAAACACAACTACAACTTCAACTGTATTTATTTTGCTACAGAAGAAAGCGGTGTCCAGTGTTGCCTAGGTAAAGTATCGATATTTAAACCACGGATGTTTGTGGCAAATATTTTAACTATATGTTTGTGGAAAACTATCAAGGATTTAAGTTCTCCAAAATTCTCCTCGATTGAACGAAATTTTTTTCATTTGCTTGCAGGTATTGACGCTCTTTGTCTTTGAGAAAATGATAAAAACGAAATCTGAGCCAGTATTTTTTTTACTATTTATCATAATCGATACGACATACGGAAAACGTTAAGTATATCAAATAGTCGAAATTCTGTAATCGATTATGAACTTTAATCATAAACCATTAAGGTTCTTCTTCTTTTTTTAAAATGGCTTTGTGAGTTACCACAATTACGCCAATATCAAGTGGTCTAAACCATCGAGGTTAAAAATAGGTAGGAGATTGTCGACATTCTTGTTAATTCTGAAGAGAGAGACGTTAATAATTATAATGTTATTATTAAAATAAGTGGAGATAACACTATTTACGTAAAAAATACTGCTTACTGTGCATAATGTATACCTTAAGACTATTCTATTTCATGATTAGATAGATAAACGTAGTAGTTAAATAATAAAAGTAATTTTTGGTTAGATGCCGATTCAGTCAGAGAAACGATTAAACATTGAACCTGATTTCCTTCTGAAGCAGAAATAAATCAAATGAACTGGCAATAAAGGTACAAGTCAGAACTGAACCGCAGACCACAGGCCGCAGCTGCAGACTGCAGGCGAGACTACTAGTTTCTATGAATTACTATGAAATTGATTCCGACCGCGGCGACATGCCGCGACTGCACAATGCATATAATGCACAGTCAGCCGCAGGCGCTAGCCGCAGTGTCGCCTGCAGCCTATTGCGAAATTGTACCTTTAACTCCCTTAGCTGCATTCCCTTGACTAACTGACTCTTTCAGCGATAACGATACTTCAGAGATAAATGAAGTGTCAATGTGACATAAGGTAACCTCTTACCCAAACGGGAATTGCAGAAGAAGAAAACGAGTGTATCTGAATGTATATATATATACAGGGTGTTACAAAAATACAAATAAAGCTTGAGGGGCGTTGAAGTAAATCATATAAGGAGTTTTCTAATTTTCTTAAAAAATTTGCATGAAGTTTTAACTTTTAATAGAAACAGTTATGACGAATTAAACGAAACGATTGAATATTTATTTTAAAATGTTGGCACTAAGGATGTATTTGAGTATCTAATAGGTACTCAATGCAAACAATACTCACTGGCGAACTATTTATTCGTAGATAAGTCTATGAGACGCTTCAAACTACTATTGATCTTATCTTAAAGTAATAAAGGCGTTTAGATATTTTATCTCTCCAAGACTCTTTGTTGTTTATGATAAGAACGAAATTATATAGAAGTTCCAAACCAACCAGATTTCTATAGAGGAACTATATAATTTTGTTTTAGTTTTATCCATTTATATGGCTTAAAAATTTAAAGCCATCTTCTGGTGTTTAGTGGGCAGTTAAGTTGTAAAATTTGTAAAGTACATATTTAAATGAATAGTTATAGGTCTTCTAAACTTGCCATTGTTATCTTTAATGTAGTTATTAAGAGCAGCAGTTATATTCATAGCCGTACCGGACAGACATGGGTAATAAGACGTCAGACAATAATAGGAGGCACTTTCCATGTTTTTCTTTTACTCCCTGTCCAGCATAGGAGATTTTATTCTACATTAATGTTGCGAAACTAACGCCTACTTCAAGCAAATTCGCTAAATCTCGATTTAACTACCACTGGAATTAAATCATACAAAAATAAGTCAGTCATTTTGACATTCTTGTATGCGGTAAATCTAGTATTGGTAAAGTCGAGACTTAGCAAACTTGCTGCAAACTTGAGAATGCAAATTAAGTAACCCTTTTTTGTAACTATATTTCTTTTTTATATTATTAAGGAACCGCTATTTTATTTAGAAGAAACAAATTATAACATCTGTTCAGTGATTATTTGCTTAAAAGTGACAATGGAAAACTAATCTTATGTGGATCAAATAAGGTGCCCCATTAGTAATAGATAATTTCTTAAACATAACAAGTCGCAAAATCCTTGGCGATTATTTTTTTTAAAACTTTGGCAGAATTCTCAGACTTAAATGAAATATTGCAGACGACTTTACACAATTACTAACTTAATCCGACATCTATATTTCAAACCATAGTTCTCGTTTTATTTTGACTACAAATGACCGATTCAATAGGAAAAAATTAAGTTACTCTGATATACCTAGCGACATCTAGTGATATTTATTTATAGAGATGTACGTAGCAATACTTAACCATTAAACAACAACAAATTACTCATATTCCAATAGAAATATCTAGACTGAATTTCATATATAAAGGACACAATCCTTTTTTCCAGCTGATCGGTTCTTATGAGATGTTTAAGGAATATCTGAAGCCTGTAAGAAACCATGGACTCTATTCCAATTTAATACATAATTGAAAGTGTTTATGAACAGGCATAGAGGATGGGCTGAGCGTATGCGAGAGATGAAGCTATCGTTTAGGTATTGATAACACCATCGCTTTATCTCTTTCTAGAGTTTCAATTACATGCGTGTCTCGATCAGTCAATTCCCTGTGTTTGTTCATGGATAATCATAAACCTTTTTGTTGCAAAAAAATTAAAAGGTAAGCTTTGAAATGCGTTTTTGCAATTCTATGATAAAAAAATATTTCAGTTCGTGATGTAAAGTGGGAGTAAAACCACGGAGGCATGGTTATCATTAGTTCCTTTCAAACTTCATTCCATTTTCAAACGTGAGGCTTACACATACAAACACTATTGAAAAATGAAAAAAGATGCAGTTTTTTTTACATTTTTTTTTAAATAATATCCTTAATCATTACCTGACTTGCCAGTGGAGCGGTGAAACTATAGAGGCTACAGCATACGGAAGCCCTATTTATCTGTGGCATTTATCATTCTATTCCATTTACAAAAGTAAACTTTTTCCGGGTCAACAACATAACATAAAGACTCCTTATTCCAATAGAAAACATTTTTTTAAATTTTTTATACAAAGGATTGCAAAGCCCTATATGTGGTTTTAAGCATTCCATTCTATTTTCAAAAGTGAAACTTTTCGGTACCATCAACAACACAACATAAAAACTCCTTGTTGCAAAAGAAACTATTTTCTTTTTATATTTTTTTACAAAATGGTTCGAACTCTAATAATATCCTATATCAGTGCGTGACTTGCCAGTGTGGTGGTGAGACCACGGAGGCTACGGCACCCGGAAAGGTACCACGAGGTCCTCGTGGTGTTCCACGCGCAGTTCCGATATCGCTGCAGCCGCTTTCTTCACCGAATTCGTTATCTGAAATGAAATATAAATATTTTTTATTATATTTCAATAAAAACTAATATGCCTACCTCACAAAAACTCGATAACATGCAATGAATAGTAACATATTTTTGCATATTGCGCCGCTATTCACAGCTAAAATCGAACAAAATGTCTGTAACAAGTAACGACTGTAAGAATATAAAGACGATCGGTAGTTTTAATAGTAATAAGCCAATGATCAAAAGAATTCAAACACTACTGTTTATGATTACCGAAATCTGGAAATTATATTTACTATTTATATATTTTTAATTTAAAATTCACCAATCGAGATTTAGATCAAGAACTCTCGAGCTGAAGCCAGATTCACTCAGAAAGAGACAGATTTATGTGCTGCGCGTCAAAACGGTAGGAACAGTATCACGAACCATTATCGAATTCGAATAGTTTGCAAACCGAAATGTCAATGTCAAATTTTGTATGGAAACTTGAACAGCAGCGCACAGTGTATTATGAAACCCATTTTTCGGACGTCTGCTTTTTATTACAAAATCCTGAAGTTTCAATCATTTAAAACGCTAGAGGAGCACTCCAGAGTATCAAAAACGCTTAGTTTTGGAAAAAGAATATTTGAAAATCTGTTTTTTTTTTGCGGATATTTTTTTAGAAAAATTCCTTCTACCTAAAGCAAACATATTTTAAATATATGATATAAGTGATATGCAAGAACTTTACAAGCTTCATCTTTAAGAGCTATTAGCGACCTCGTAACTGCCATAGAAAAGGAGAAATTATTATTTTTCAGTTTTTCGTTTTTATTTTATTTTTCAGATAATCCACCGTATTTGGAAAAGTTATCCAGATGAAAATGAAGGTCCTAAATCCTTCTACCTACCACTAAAAAATCACATCCAAATTGCGTGGAGTTTAGAAGCTGTGTTCAATTAAATATTTCGATCAGGGTTGTTACTTTTTTGAATTTTCAATATCCGGAATTTTATCTAAGGTGGGTGGGTGGTTTAAGTCCCACGTGTGGTGTGTAATATAACAAGAAACTATATAATGTTGAAAATACATAATATCATTTAGTTTTAATAAATTATGCAATATGTGAAATGAAAATTCTATTAAGTACCTAAATTTATTTCAAACACAACTTATAAAAGGTACTTGGAGAAGAAAAAATGTATAAATTCCATTGAAAATTAATGGGAAACTACAAACCCTACATTGCGCGTGGTCCGACATCCGTGCGATTAAAAACAAATTACACGGGCGAAGCCGCGGGTAACAACTAACATTTAAATTATATTACATACCCTATGATTATACCCTAATATTCCGGATATTTTTGAATTTGTGAATAGTGTCAACCCTAATGAAAAAAAACCCGGTTATTTACAAAACAGGCTGTATCATATAGACTCCACGCAATTTGGACGTGATTTGTTTGTGGTAGGTAGAAGGATATGGGACCTTCACTTTTATTTGGATAACTTTTCCAAATACGGTGTATTATCTGAATAATAAAATAAAAACGAAAAACTGAAAAAAAGTTATTTCACCTGTTCTAAGGCAGCCACAAGGGCGCTAATAGCTCTTAAAGATGAAGCTTGTAAAATGCTTTCTAATAACGTTTGTCATATATTCAAAATATATTTGCTTTAAGAGAAGGAATTTTTCTAAAAAAATAACCGGGAAATAAAACCAAATTTTCAAAGATTTTTTTTTTCAAAACTAAGCGTTTTTGCCACTCTGGAGTGCTACTCTAGCATTTTAAATGATTGAAACTTCAGGATTTTTTAATAAAAAGCAGACGTCCGAAAAATGGGTTTCATAATACACTGTGCAGCGGCACAAAGTACATAACGAGAACTAAAAATCAGTACATATTTGACAATGACATTTTGGACTCGCAAACGATACGAATTCGATAATGGTTCGTGCTAGGGGTACAGCATGGGTTTCAGGAAAAAAAGCGCGAAGTTTTCAGTAGGTCAGCGTCGCGCGTTATAGATACGCCTGGTGTCGCAAGTGTTCATAGGTCACAGTGACCGCTTACCATCAGGCGGACGTTATGGTTGTTTGCCTACCCTATGCAACGATATTAAATACCCTAGATACAAGAACACGAACAAAATCGTGGCCGAAACCTGTCCAAAAGGTACATTGGACGATTCACGGAGCTCCGTAAGATGTTCGCGTTGTAAAAAACAATGTAAGGCATTATTTAAACATTGAAAGTCACTTTAAATACTGTTTGAAGGAAGAAATATAGAGCTTATTTCTTTGACTCTACGCCCAATTCTGAATGCGCTGTTAGCAATATAGCAGAAAAAGAGACTGCTATATAACCAACCATGTATTTGAATATCCCAAATATTTTCAATTAAATCAGTTAATACTAAGAATTAGAACAAAAATTGCTTCAAATGCGTTATTAACAAACATTGATTAGATACCTGTCGAAAGCACGGCACTTTACGTACTATAAGTATTTTTTTCGCATTTTTTCACGTAGCTCCGCGGCATTTTGGCTTTTCAACGGTCCGGGCGTGACTGTGAACCAAGAAGTGCTTGAGCTGAGTTCAAGCACTTCTTGATTGGGACACTTTTTGAGCACACGTAGTGTATCTAGAGTATTTAATACCGTTGACCCTATGTTATAAACAAGAGAACGCAATCTTGAGCTCGACCAAAAATCATCTCGGTTTCGATGTGTTTGTTTGCAGTTTGTTTTCTGGTCGCGGTGTACAAACTCATTTACGGCCATACTCAGAGGCGTTAAATATATTAAAGGTCATACAAAACCACATGCTGTTCTATGTTAGCACTATCCAAGGCTATTCGTATTTGTAATTTTTACAGCGGTGTCTCCTTTTTCATTCCCTATAGAGAATGATAAAGATCTCACTACCCCACTTACACGACTCCGCTTCTGCCCGTCAAAAATAATAAAATTCAAATATGGGCTTAATTAAAGTATTGCTAGATGTTCATTACATTCGCAGACAGGCGGTGTCCGCGCGCTGACTGGTAGTAAGCCCTCCTCGCATTATCTACCAAGCAATTCGCTGACAATTAGCTAACGGCACATTGACAGCTGGGTGTCTGCTAGGTGTCGCCGAGTGGACTGCGAGCACTAATTTAAGGTGGTGTTGGAGCAGTCGTGTAATTGGTTACAGACCTTAAGGTTAAGGCATGATGTCAAGTGTACAAATAGCAAACACGAATAGCCATGTGAAGTGCTAACATTATTTTAATTTTAAAAACAATCTGCAAATAAAGAGACCTGCAATAATTTAAAACACACTTAAATCTACATCCATTTTTCTATACTTACAAAGTCTTTGTCGTCGTTGCTAAGGGCGGGCTTGCTGAGTAGCGCCGTCCGCTCCCCATGCGGGACATCAGCGAGCAGTCTCGGTGGCGCCGGCGCAGGCGGTGCCGGTGCGGCCGCGACCCTTGCAGTGTACGCGCGCACCCGCTCGCTGTACGCGCCCGCCTCAAGCGCGTACGGCCCGAGCGCGCCCACGTCTATCACGTTACTGTACCACCCCACACAATACTATCAGTCTTATACAGTCGCACCCGCTCGCTGTACGCGCCCACCTCTAGCGCGTACGGCCCGAGCGCGCCCACGTCTATCCCGTTACTGTACCACCCCACACAATACTATCAGTCTTATACAGTCGCACCCGCTCGCTGTACGCGCCCGCCTCAAGCGCGTACGGCCCGAGCGCGCCCACGTCTATCACGTTACTGTACCACCCCACACAATACTATCAGTCTTATACAGTCGCACCCGCTCGCTGTACGCGCCCGCCTCAAGCGCGTACGGCCCGAGCGCGCCCACGTCTATCACGTTACTGTACCACCCCACACAATACTATCAGTCTTATACAGTCGCACCCGCTCGCTGTACGCGCCCGCCTCCAGCGCGTACGGCCCGAGCGCGCCCACGTCTATCACGTTACTGTACCACCCCACACAATACTATCAGTCGTATACAGTCGCACCCGCTCGCTATACGCGCCCGCCTTTAGCACGTACGGCCCGAGCGCGCCCACGTCTATCACGTTAGTGTACCACCCCACACAATACTATCAGTCGTATACAGTCGCACCCGCTCGCTGTACGCGCCCTACTCAAGAGCGTACGGCCCGAGCGCGCCCACGTCTATCACGTTACTGTACCACCCCACGCAATATTAGTAGTCGTATACAATAAGCGAAAAGGCGCGAGCACAACCGAAAATTTGGAAATCGTGATGGTGTCTTTGTATACATGCTGGCAAACTTCTGGAGCCACTTACATAGAAAAACGTCTACTGCACTTGTTAATTTGTCTGTGTTTTTGCTCAATAAGATTGCAGCTATCTATACTATTGAAATATTAACACTTCTCAATTTTACATAAGTATACGGCAAGCCAGCAAAGTCGCTTGCTTGAGTAATAAAATTATTGTACTGCTTGAAATAAAACAAAATTATTGTTATTTATAATGAAAGAAATGTAATAAACACATTGTGTATGTGTTAATTGGTGGTCCAATTAGTGACATCAACAATTTTATTTTAGATTCCTCGCACCTGGGGGTATCCGAAAATACCCCATGTATGTTCCGCAATTTTTCTTAGTTTATCTTTTTTCATAGTAGGTATTTTGCAGTCTTTTTTTGTGACATAATTGTTTTGAATGTTGTTTTAATAAAAAAGATTACTCAACTTCCTGAAAATACTTAAAGTTACTCAAAAAAGGCTTGAAAATTGGAACCTTAGTTTTTAGTAGGATGTACTCAAACATTCAACTTCAATTTAAAAATACAAAAAGGAATTTCCATAAAAAATAAAAACTCCGCATGCCTCTAAACTACCAAAACTCATGAAAAAAAATTAAAAACTTAAACGAGTTTTTAATTTTAGCCAGAATTTTATCCTACTAAAAACTAAAGTTCCAATTTTCAAGCCTTTTTTGAGTAACTTTAAGTAATTTGAGGAAGCTGAGTTTTTTTTTATTAAAATAACCTTTAAGACAATTATGTCACAAAAAAAAGACTGCTTAATACCTACTATGAAAAAAGATTTTTTAAACATTGCTGGCAGAAATCATTAAAAATACACAAAAAAATATAACTCGATACCCCCAGGTGCGAGGAATCTAAAAAAAAATGTTGACGTCACTAATTTGACCAATCTGTATAAATACATGTTCAATAAGTTTTTTACTATGTTTTATATCTGTATATATGTTAGACTTTAAGGTATGTATCTATGGGCCTACGTTGCCTGACTGTAAATTAATAAATAAATAAATAAAAATAAATAAATATAACATTTATAAAATATGTGTTAAGAAAAAAAATTGGTTCAAACCTTAGAGCAGAACCGAAATCTTTTAGGTTCAATCTCTCCAAGTGGCCAATGAACATGCAACAACATGGACAAAATTGCAATTCATATAATATTAGTAGGTTTAATATGTAGACATCTGTTTTTCATCTAAGCAAAAATATATGAACAATGTGATTACCAGTGTATGATACATTATGAAAATAGTAAACACAATCATTTATCAATATGTGTGTGGGTTAATTATTGATTTCCATACCAAAACAAATCACTGTTATCCTGTTAACTCCATATTGGAATGGATGTAATTAAAAACTTTATCTGAGGCAATTTCATAGCCTTGTTTATCACATACTTTTATCTACACACAAAACGGGAATAATTGTGAGTGTATATTTTGGGCATTTTGATTATTATGATCTTGTTATTTAGCTGCAATATCATTATCAACTGCAACTGCTGTAATATAAAGATGCAGGAAAATAATAAAATTAGGGGTATGGGGTAGTAATAAAATGAAACATGGGGTATAGGTAGCTGCAAACTTGAGCAAAACCACAGACAAATAAACTTGCGCATTACACGTTTCTAAATGTAAAATTGCTACAGCAGCTACGGGTTCATCTATGGTTGATGCTCAAAAAGTTTGTCGGAATATATACTGTAACTTAAAAAAGATTAAAAATTAAATTTATACTTTACTGCCGAATGTTTTTAGCAAATACTTTCTTTTAGAAGTTATGATGGTGTCCTATAAACTTATAGAAAACTTACGTGGCAGTCTCATGCAGTATTCTATTAAGAGCACTTTGTTCGTCTGGTTTGCGTGGAGGTGTCGATGCCGATGCCACTGGCACTGGTATCTCATGCTGTTGCTCAGGTACTTCTAACAAATGAGTCCGCTCGTTTATTATGTTTTCCTGGAAATTTGGTTAACATTTCCGGTAACATTGTTTTTAGATTAAACCAAAGACAGAAGCATATTGATATTTCTATTACGTACCATGAATTAAAGAATACGCCTATAATTGTTCTATATAAGCAATGCAAATGGTACATAATCAACGTGTGAAGGTTATTATTATCAATACTGAAAGTAATATCAAATAAAATTACAGGCATCAATAAACTGTAGGTACTTATTCTAGACAGATGGGGCATAGGAACCAACGACATTTGTTTGAGATAAGTATTGAAAATGAATGAAACACTAGATAAAAAGCCAGTCAACTGGGAAATTAAGATAAAAGGATCAAATGTCGTTTGTTCAGGAACAGAATCGATTGTTATGAAAAAAAAACATTCGTAATCAATAGATACCGGGTTTATAGGAATGATGCGTGAAACGACGTATAAATAGTTTTATATTACCTGCGGATCGTTTTCTTTGTGGCAGATACTATAGCAGCAACCCATGACTGCGCTCTTTAAAGAGTCGAAGCATGAATGCAACGCGTTGTCCTCTTCGTCAGACTGCATAAATATTTTGTATTATTAACCTGTTACGAGGTTAAAAATAGAAATTTTCTATAGTTCGTCGTGCGGATTACAGTATTCCTATTGGACTTTAAAACAACTATGTACGCCCGAAACCACACAGACTGCGAACTTCAGCGCACGCAAGCGAATTACAAAGTAATCTGACAGACAGCTTGAGAATGCCACTGTCATTATGACTGACAGATTTTTTTTTTGGTTACGTTCTCCCTTTTCAGGGAAGGCAAGGGGAGCAATGCCCAAACAGCCTACTCTTAAGTTAAATTATTCTGTTTTTCTTTTTACATTAGAATGTCGGTGTGACGCATTCTAATGTTTCTTGAAGTGTTTGGCACGAAATGTATCGAGCTGGCTTTTTCGATAAGCTTCTGTGAGGTAGTCAATACTACAATAAAATCCTCACGTCCACTTGACCAGAATAGCGTATATTTTGAAGATTCTACTAATTCTTCAAGATATTTAAGAAAAATAAGACGCCAACCACACTCGATGAAATCCCGCCAAATAAAACTCACAGATTTTTTTATAAATAATCGTTACTATAAAAAAGAAAGTTACTAAATCTATACAGTTTAGTCTTTAACATTTTCGTCATTATACTTGACTGATCTAGAAGAAAAGATTAAACCATGATTAAAATAAATATGTTTTTATATTTATTTGCCCGCTCTTTAGTCTTGTTTTTAATCGATTTTAGCTTGAGGCTTAAGAGGTGCTGTTAAAATTCATTCTAAATAAAGTTTGACAGTGCAGAATGGCAATCTATGATTAATAAGGTTTTTTAAAACTTTTATTTTTCTCTAGAAGAAACATCCAATCTTATTACAAATTTGATGCTGCTACTAGACTACAGAAACAAAAATGCTACAAAATTATTTTTAAATTATGAGGCGAAACTTATTAGATGTGCTGGTTGCTATAACTTCACTTCACTATCAGCTACACTGTATATACTTTAAATCTTTGCATAGCCCAATGAAAGAATTATACAAAAAAGTAACAATCCAAGCTGTATGGGCATCTGTCTTGCCTTGCCAGAAAAGAGACAACATGAAAAAAGTAACAAGGCTTTTTTGGCGGGATTTCATCGAGTGCGGTTGGCGTCTTATTTTAATTATTCTTAAATTCGTTCATAGTGGATATTGTGAAATAAAATTGGTGTGGTTTTGTGTAACAACTGTCTGCGTAACTGAAGAATTAGTGGAATCATTAAAATATACGCTATTCCGGTCAAGTGGACGTGAGAATTTTATTGTAGTGTTGACTACCTCACAGAAGCTTATCGAAAAAGCCAACTCGATACATTTCGTGCCAAACACTCCAAGAAACATTAGAATGCGTCACACCGACATTCTAATGTAAAAACAAAAAGAAGATAAATTTAATTAAAGACTAGGCTGTATGGGCATTGTTCCCTTTGCCTTCCCTAAAACGGGAGAACTTCAACAAAAAAAAAGTAACAAAAAGTCAAAAACACGTCAGGGGAACGAAATGTCAGTCAGTCAACGAACCTAAAAAATAAAGCTTTATTTTTATTTGAAACTTTTACATTTACTAGTTTTACAATGATAAGATATCGTGGAAAGAAAAAGGTTTTAGAAAAAGTTAAAGAACTAGATGCCTTTCCTAAAGTTCCTGAAGAATACGTGGACAGCACACCGGTCGGTGGCACTTTTTCTATTATAGCATTTTTGATAATTTTATGGTTAATTTACAGTGAAGTAAGTTATTATTTTGATAGTAATTTAGTGTTCAAATTCTTGCCTGATACGGATATGGATGAAAAGTTGCGGATCAATATAGATATTACAATCGCTATGCCTTGTTCTAACATCGGAGCAGATATATTGGATTCCACATCTCAGAGTGTTTTCGGTTTCGGCGAGTTGCAGGAAGAAGATACATGGTTCGAATTATCCCAAGAACAGCAAGATGCTTTCGATGCCGTGAAATACTTGAACTCTTATTTGAGAGAAGAGTACCATTCAGTGTGGCAGTTGCTTTGGAAGAAAGGTCATGGCTCAGTTCGAGCTACGATTCCGGCTAGAAGGAACAAACCTAATAGAAGACCAGATGCATGCCGATTACATGGTGTTCTAATTTTGAATAAAGTTGCTGGAAACTTCCACATAACAGCGGGTAAAAGCCTACATCTTCCCAGAGGCCACATTCACTTGAATATGCTGTTTGATGACACTCCACAGAATTTTAGTCACAGAATACATAGACTCAGTTTTGGGAGTCCAGCTAATGGCATAATTTATCCACTTGAGGGTGATGAAAAAATTACAAATGATGAAAACATGTTGTATCAGTATTTTGTTGATGTTGTACCAACAGACATAGACACAACATTTGAATCAATCAAAACATACCAGTACTCCGTTAAAGAGCTAGAAAGACCAATAAGCCATGCAAAAGGTTCCCATGGAGTGCCTGGTGTATTTTTCAAATATGACATGGCTGCCTTAAAAATCAAAGTTTTTCAGCAGAGAGAAAATTTGCTGACATTTATGTTAAGACTTTTTTCAGTAATAGGTGGAATTTATATAGTAATTGGTTTCATTAATACCTTAGTCTTAACTATAAGGACTCAGTTTATTAAAAGAAAAGGAAGTGAAATTTCAACAGTTAGAAGAACTTCATCTGAACCGAAAAGTAAATTAGCGCAGTCTAACCCATTATTGATTACTCCTGAATTAAGTGTTCCTTTAGAATTAATCAAACAATGATAAAAGGAAAATTTTAGGTTTAAGCTTATATTGTGTTGTATAGAAGAGACTATTTTGTGTATGTAGGTATTTATAATGCTATTCATGAGTTTAATTAAATGTGCAGAAAATTATGATGACATTTTGCAGTAGGTATTGTGCAGTCCATGACAATACATTAAAATTGAAATATCTTGCAGCTAAGTAGATTGCAGTATGTTGTGATAGATTAATCACTATATCAGTAATAAATTCTAAAAACATGAAATCAGAAGTTAATAATGAAATAAATATTAAAAATTATTCGTTTAACAAGTATATGAAATACATCACAATTACTCTTTCCATTTATTTAGTATTTGAACAGATCTGTAAAGTTCTGAAATTGATTTTAGTCTTAATGCTATGCATGCAATGTGTTAATTATCTCAAAATTCAAAGAGATTATTCAGGAAGTATTGATGTTGATGCACAAATCTTTACCTAGTTTGTATTTTTTTAGTATATTTTTAATGAGCATTAATAATTAAAATTTGAATTGAATCTGAAAAATATTTTTATTGAGTATTATATACAAGTATAGAATACTAAGTATGACATTTTAAAATATTATATGTAGATATATTTTTTTACTGTAAAATATTTTTATATGTTTTTATTAACTGACTTCTTATTATGTAAACCCTTGTTATAAATACTCCTTATTGCTTGAATTCGTAAACAATATACATATTACGTATTCTATACCACCAATGAAAATAAAGTAAATAAGAAAGAATAAGCAGGTGTTTTACTTCCCCTTAAATTTTGTACGAGGGGCAAAGGGGGACGTGCAAACGGTTCTGATCTTCCGTCCTGTTCACACCGCATATTGCTAATAAGCTGTTTCACTCGCACATGAGGATTGTCGTTCGTTTTGTTCTCAGATCGTCGAACGAAACCAGCCAGCCCGCGCGATAGCTTATTCGCGCGACGCGTTCGCCACCGGTCGGGTGTTTCGTAGCCGAACTAATAACGGGCGAACACGAAAAGTTTGACAACTTTTTTTATTACGGGCCCTTATCCAAAAAGGACTCTAGGTGGGTCACGCTTGCGGAGTAACGTCAGTGCGGTGCGTTTCGTGTGAAGTCTGTGTATGTGAAGTGCGTCCACGATTTTTTTTCAATCGCAATTTACCGTTTCAATTGAACGTTACTGGTTCGTTCAATAAAAGCGCGTAAGCAGAAGTAGCGCTCATCGCGAGAGGGCCGTATATGGTCGATTCTTGGTGCTGGCGGCGTCAGCCGGTGAAAGTAGACCTTTGTTAAGTTCATAAGGACACAGACCGCTTGCAACTAGCTCGAAACGACTCGTTTCGCTTGCAGTTTGCGAGAAGGTGAGTGGCGTTTCGATTGTATTACCTACTTAGTTACTCTTCATAATACAGTTATCTTCACGATTTTTTTATCTTGCACCTTTATTAATACATCTTTCACTTTAATTAAGCTGAGATACCGTTTGGCGGAGTTAATAACGCATTCATAATTTTATGAATCTATTATGTGCTTACCTAAATATTAACACGCGTGATGTCTGAGCAACGTCCATCCTATCAAATAAACTCTTTTATATGCCAAGATTACAGAAAATAATATTAATCATTTACTATTATTTCAATTGTTATTAAGAATCTATCATGTATGCTTAGGTAGTCATTCTAAGTTAAATTTTCAATAAATTACAAAAGTCAGCTGATCGACACTCGACTTTTTAATTAATAGGTACCTAGGTAATTAAAATATCGGCACTGACTAACCTGATCGTTAAATAATATCTACATAGGGATACTTAAGACAAACTAGTTTAGAATTCCTAGGTATTCTACAATAATTCGCCACGGAGAATGGACTGCAGAGTGATAAGAGTTCACATCATTAATTTTTAACCGACTTCAAAAAACGAGGTTCTTAATTCGGTTGGTATTTTTTATCCTACAGGAGCTTTTGCTTGTTAGTACCTACTGAGTTTGTAGGTAATCTAGTTACCTTATTAAGGCTTATTAGCCACTTCTTTCAATCTGCCTATAGAATGATTGATGAATTCGTTTGACGTGTGTGTGTCAATCGATTGAATGGGAGACTAGTTTCATTATGTTTGCTGAACGTTTGCTCCGATATATTCCAAAACGATGACTAAAATTAGTCTTGGTTTAAACCTAATGTTGTCTCTGTCTTGTTTTTAGCAAACAAAAGTGACAGCAACAGGAGGCTAATCGCCTAACGGGATTGCTATCGCTTACGATTTCATTTTGTTATTTCTGACCTGAAAACGTAAGCGATAGCGATAGTCATAGTAATCCCGTTACGCGATTGGTACCTATCCAGATTTAGTCAAAGTTTAACTTTATAGTTACGTTTTGTAATAAGGCGTTTTGTGTCATTCATGTTGCAGCCGAGCCGTGTAGGTCAGTGCCCCTAGCCTACCTGTTGTCGGGTGCCATGGCAGTCGAGCCCGATCCGGTTCCCCTACGTTACGCCAACTCGCTGAAAAAAAGTGTTAGGTTCACTAACGGCTATATTAGGGCTCAAAAAAGGCGTATTTAGCTTCCTACTTAATGGTCGACATTAGGTACAAAAGAGAGTATTTCTGTTACAAAATCCTTTTATTAATTTTCTTGCTTTTTTAGGTGCAAAGAATACTGACTTGCGTATTATGAAATCATTTTCCTATCAAATGTAGGTAACTATGTATACCTACATGTATCTATTGTAGACTTCTAGTCATGCTAACCCTCACACCAATTTCGCCTAGCCATAAACCTGTGCCTAAACTGCTCTAAAGCAACATTACCGAGCCTAAAAGTAGGCTCGCGTTATGGGATACAAAGGTAACGGATACAAATACGTATGATACATATACATACTTGTAAAGTCAGTGCATTTTTTGTTTAACAATCTAACAATTATATATAACAACAATAAAACTTGGCAATCATGTAGATTAGATGACAATAGGGTCAGTTCGCCCGTTCGCGTCCATCGCCCAATTCGCGTCCATTTTACGGATCTCCCTTAAAAAATCGTCAATAATAAGTAAACTAACACCAATCAAACGAAAAGTAATTACCGCTAATACCTTAATATATAAGAGGCACGAACACATGGTCAAAAGGTAGGTGCGCCAAACAATCCCGTTTAAAAAAAAAATAGTCTCGGTTATTCATCAAGGGAGTGCGTACACGCGGGATGTTTAGATAAAAAATAGTGTGCAGCGGCGCGTTCGATGGTAAGATTTTTATTTTTTTATGTTAATTTTAGGATACATAGCTGTTTCTAGACTTTTATAGTGAAGAAAGGAATGATATTAATTATAAATTTTCTTATGTTTTTTATATTTAATAAATAAAAAAGTTGGACGCGAATTACTACATCGAAATTACAAAACTTCCAATTTGCGTCCGCAATGGACGCAAACTAAACCTACGCGGAATAATAATAAACCAAATTGCGTCCACTATTTTCATTAAATACAATTAATTAATTATAATATAAAATATAGGTACTGATTATTATTATAATACATTTTTATTAAGACTACGTGTTTTTAATGCTATATTTATGAAATGAGTAATTTCAATCAATCAAATACTTTATTTGTTTCATTCTTATTTTTTTTCTATCTGAGATGAGTTCTTCGGAGACAAGAAAGTAGAAGGAAAAGAGAATATACACAGACGACGATTTAAAGAAAGCGTTAAATGAAATTCGAGAAAAGAATAAATCGGTAAGACACATAGACATATTGTACAAAATCAGTGGGCGCAGACCAAATGAAGTAAAGAAACCGGGACCAGACACCACTTGATGCTACCCGAAATGTCTAACAAAGCACGAAAAGATAATCAAAGAACTCTAGCAACCATATCTTCTGCTGCATGGAGTAAGTATTAAGAAGATAAAGAGCAGATCAAGAAGGAAAAGCAGGAAGCAATACGAAAAGAAAGTTAGAACGAATAGAGAAACAAGAACAGAGTTTAAAACACTCTCAAACGGTTCGTAAAACTGCTCCAAAACGAAAGAAGCACATGCACCTTGCATGCTCTTCAAGAAGTCACACAGGAAATGGTAAATCAGGAATTTAAGAAAGATTTTTTTCTGAATTTGACCATATACTAATTTCAGATGTAGAAGACGACGATGAGAAAAACATACCTTGTGATTTTAGGGTAAAATTAACAAAACTGATTACTGTTTATTCTTAAAGATGCAATCATTATTTACCTACTACTTATATAATTTTAAATTCAATCAATATTGAGAAGACTATTTTTTATTTTTTTTAAAGTGATAATATTTTAATGATAATAATGTTGGTTTTAATATTTATATTCTAAAATAAAGAAATTCATTCGTCATGCATTCAACAGTAACAGTTGTCTTCCTTCCTTCATCCTAATATCATTAGGTAGGGGGTCACCCCTACAGTTACAATAGGTACAATCTTTCTATACAAATTCTTAAAAATATCACCACTATATTTCTTTTCTAAGGTGGTGGACGCTAAATGGTCCACGGGTGGACGCAATTTGGATTTGTGGACGCAAAGTGGGTAAAACGCCTTATTCCGAAGTTTATCTATTTAAATAAAAAACAATAGATGTTTCGAACAAAACTGAAAGTTAATCTTAAAATAGACTATAATTATAATGAAATGAACACATTACATAAATTTTTCATAGAAATTAGTGCTGGGATATTTTTATTATCACCGTCAAACTTTTCAACTGCACTAAATGGACGCGAACAGGCGAACTGACCCTACAATATTATGGTACTATCGAGCTGGTCTGATGATGGGACTGGAAGGTGGCTGAAGGAACCTTGGACTGCCTACTAGTAAACATATCGAGTTTGGACTCATTAGATTCTTCTCTACATATTCTGTTTATTTCTCCTGATGACGAGGACCTGACGATGGCCTGGAAGATGGCTGATGGACCCTGGACCGGCTTCTAGTTAACATATCGAGTTTTGGGCTTATTACATTTGTCTAAATATATTCTGTTTATTTCACGTTAAAGGGGGTAACTAAAAAGAGAAACATAAAATAATAGTTTAAAAAACTAAAACACGCTCTTATTTACTGCAATAAAAAGCTAAAAATAAAGATAATACCTACTCTCTGCTTACTTCATTAGGGCTAAGCTATGTTTATAGTTTATTTTAGCATATATATACAGGGCGTCCCACGACAACCTCACACGGAGGGAAAGTATATTAAATA